GATTAGCATGTATAATGTAGGGGGGGTGACACAGGGAAGGCAGTATAACACAGAGATGACCAGTAGTGATTCTACAGAATCTTACTACGCTGATGGACAGTGACTGTAATGGGGTATGCGGTGGGGACTTGATAAGGGGTGGAATCTAGTAACCACACTGTTGCTCATGTGATTGTATATTAATGATACCAAAAGAAAAAAAAAAGTAAATGTGTGTCCTGCACATGAAGAGTATGAAGGTAGAAAAAAGACGAACACCTGCTATAAACAAAGTAACAACTATCCCACTTCCAGGTAACTTAACTTGGAGTAGACATTTCAGAAGTTTACTGTCAAATACTCTACCCAGGAGCAACACCCTTTGGATACAGGCAAACAAGCTTAACAGAAAATAAATGACTAGCATATAGTATTGATTGTTTTAAAGATTAATACTCAGCAGGAGCTGAGTGTTATATAATTGGACTGCATATTCTGGGTAGGAAGATTGTAACAGTTACAACTTTCAAACAATTTTTATATATTAACTCTCACTATACCACTGTAAGACAGGTAGCATCAATGTATCATCCCATATTTAAGGGAGCTGTGTTATCACCCTTCTACAGATAAAGTTCAACAAATGACATGTCCAAGGTCACACTGTTGAGAGTTAGACTTAATGACTCAAACCCAACTTTATGGGGTCTGAATTTTATGCTCTTTTTTTTCTTTTCGGAAAAAGAGCTACTAGGTCCTTAGATATGGACACTGCCTTACATATGAAATCAAACTATAGTGTCATTACTAACAAATGTGTTAATATGTATACAAACATAAATATATCAATACTAACAAATCATTGACCAGGATTTCTATTTTTGTCAAAAACTGGAAGAATTCAATATGAAAAAGGGACACCTTTGGGAAATAATGTTAGAGAAAGTAATATATAATCATAAGTGACATCTTTGATCAAAGTACAGATCTTATCTATTTGTACCATATAGATATATGAGGTTCTCTTTAGGGGGTTCAGAATCAAGGGAAAATTCCACTGTATTCAACAACCCAGAGGGACTTGAAAGCTTTTGAAATTGTGAAGTCAGGAATCAAAGAAGTTCTCAGAAAGAAAATGTTCCATTCTCTAAAACACACCAGGTAACAAAGTAAGAGATATTTTTTTAAAAATCCTTATATGTACCTGCCAGGCCATATTATTTATGACTCAAAATCGAGCTCAGTGATTATTTAAGAATTTTTAAATGACCTGCTTGTGATATATCTTATAGAAAGAGCCCTACAAAATACAAGATAACTAAATATATAGAACTCTCAATTACAGATTGTGAACAGATTTCAATTTTCACTCATTCAATTAACTTGAATCAAGGTTACAAAAAACAAATCTCATTCTTAAGGCATAAAGGTCACAGTGCAGAAAATATATCAACAGCTACCTTTGAGATGCTTTGCTTCCCTTTCGGCAGCAAATAAAACTGGCTCACCAAAGCTGTATTATTTTTAAAAATTCCTACGTCACACCACTGTCGTTCTCCTGCTTTCATTGTGACCACTGGATTTGAAGGAGTCTCTTTCTAATTTCAGAGAAAGAAAAATTTATGAAGACTCTTACTGAGCATATAAGAAATTTCAAGACTTAAAAAATCCATGCAGTGATCTACAAGTAGGTATATGGGTAAACACCACAATATTAATAGCTCATATGTAAATAAACTCTTAACAGATTAGGTCAACTGACAGTGAAATAGGGATGCCAATTCAAACACAGGAGTGACAGGCATTCTCCAGGTCAGTAGCTCTGTACTATCAACCTAGCTGGAGTTAGCATGCTTTCCAATCAGTGATATGTTAAAATGCCAGCTGTTTCATAGAACATTGTCATTTCAGAGACTTTCTTGGAAAATGTAATCCCCTTAGTGTGACATTACAACTTGCTCCAAAAGGAGCAAATAGGGAAAAATTCATTCCAAGCTGGCTTATTTCTAGATTCAAAAACAACTAGCAGAAATTGAGTGATCTTTGCACTTGAAATACCTGTGATTCTCCAAACCTAAAAGGAGAAAAAATGTTCAAAACTAAAATGCAATTTGAATATACTTTTGATATACTAAAGAGGAGCAGATTAAACAGTTTTATATTTTTTACCTTGCTTTAATAAAAACAGACTTCCTCTACCTTAAGCTACTTTTAGTGATAAGTGAATTATACTTATCCCTGGAACTAACCTTTTTAAGCCATCTTCTTTATAAATGAGACACTGTTTCCAGAAGCTCAAAACAAATGTGCACTTCAGTTATTTATTTCTGTCTTAAATATATAACAGCAGAGGTACATGCTTATAATTCACATTATTTGTTATTTAGGCTATCACACATGACAAAATGAGCTTACTAGCAGAGTCTTCAAAGTTTAAAAAAAGGAATAGCTTTAAACTTGCTTTCATTTTGAAAGTTGTAAATACTCTCTTCAACAACTTTTATAAAACAACTGGCTCCAACTGCATTAACAAATTCCATTTTGGTGATGCATTGCAAAATAGATTTAAGAGAAAAAAATGTTCATTTTAATAATTATTCCCTAAAAAGAGGCTAAAAACACTAGGACTTAACATTCTGGAAAGGTGAAAGCTGATGAAGGTAATTAGATTATCAAAATCTATAAAATCATGACTGAAAGAAAACTAAAAGTATAGACAATACTTGAAGATTCTAAAAGGTATATGAGGTCAAATAAAAACTCTAGCTCATAGCCATAAAGTTTAAAAGACTGATTATTTAAAAATAAATTTAAGAGTATATACAAACACATATGTATTACCCTTATATTATCTAATTGAGACACTTGGTATATTTTTGAGGTACATTCCTAGCATTTTAAGTTTGGTGACACACTGACGAATTCTGGCCTTCCATAAAACAACCCAGTGTCAGAGATTATTGGGTTACCTTAAGTGTAAGTCTAACCCAATACTGCAATACTATGTTGTTTTTCTGCTAAGTAGCTAGCAATAGAGCCATTCAAGTTTTATGTTCCATAACATGTCCTTTTCCTCTTTAAACCATTAATACAATTTAGATATATATACATACATATGTTCACACGGACACACATTTCTGATAATGTAAGTAACACATTTCATTATTAAAAATAATTGAAATATTGAACTGAAAGCTTAAGAAAAAAGCAAAAATTATCTGTGGTCCCACAACCTGGAGAAAGTCACCTGACATTGTAGGGTATATGTGTGTGGACTCACATGAGAGTGTGACTGTATGCATTGTGTATATTTTTAAAATAAAATTGGGATTATAGTATGTATGTGTGTATATATACATGTATGTTATATATACACATATTTTATACATATGAACACACACACATATATATATACACGCACAGATTACTTTTTATCCAGCTTTTTTCACTTAACATTATACTGTGAACATTTTCTTATTTAACCTTTCATTTCTCAGTCTATGTCAAGTCATTACTAAAGGACACCCAAAAATATTTTCATAATTTATGCTGAAGTTGCTCAGCATTTAAAAGCGCACTTAGTCATCTATAAATACATATCATCTCCTGGTCATATACTTACAGAAAATGGCATCACTGCAGCATGTGCCTCTACACGGCTGATCTTAGTTGCAGGCAGTGCACATGTTTCATCAACTAAAAATCAAACAATTCATCAGATAAGACATAATCACTTATCAAGCAGACACATTAAAATATTATTTATAAATATATAAAAAATAGCCACAGAGAGAAAATCATAATTGGAAATACAGATCCTCTAACTCAAACTAAGTCATAAAGTCCATTTTTCAAGGGTTTGATGACCAGCTAGAACTTCAGAGAATGTTTACCAAAGATGAAACACAATTCCTACTGCAAAAGAATAAAATGAGAATTTACAAAATCATAAATCAATCAGGCTGGGAGAATTGTTACTCCATAGTTTAGAACTAATATTTTCTAAGGAAAAATAATTTGCTGAATATATTCACAGGAGAAAGAGGCATTCTGGTTGTACTTCAGTGAGCACTGATTTAAATATTTTATGGAAGCAGCAGAGATTATATATATTCCAATTGCAATGCTTTATATATGTTTATATGATTCAATCCAAGATGAAATACAATTCCCATCTAAAACAAATATGTTTGATGAATTTATTTACAAAAATGGTTCAAAATACAGTATGTGAAACACATTTCAAACCTTCAGATTTGGTACTGAATGTTGTTAGTGAAGTTTCATCTTTAACAACTGCCCCATTTGTACTGGATGATTCAGTTTTAATGGTCTGCTGGGTTACCATAGTTTGTGCGCTGGAAACAGTACTGGATACAGAAGTTTCAGGGATTACTGTTCTTAAGTCCAGGCAACTACTTAGAACACCTATATCTGCTGAAGTGTGAGGACCTAAAATTAAAGGGAAAAGACCAATTATTAACATAATACCTGCTGATACTGTTATCTTATAGTTCTTGTACAATTCTTGGTATTTTCAATTTTAAAATCATAAACATGGGTACTACAAATGTCATTCATATGATTTAATTATTAGGAATAAAATGTTAAAAGTGCATTATATCCATAATGAATGTCCAATTTCTCAGCTCCTTCCTCCATTCTGAACACTGCATCATTGTTCTCAAACTCTACTAAATCATAATCAAATGGCCTTACCTCCTATTTTAGGGCAAAAAATAGAGATCATCAGGGATGCATACCATCAATTTTCTGCTTTTGCCTGCCCTAAACTAGAAACATATTTGTCACTGTGCCTATCCTTTCCATCCTCTCTTCCATTTTAGAGGATGAGCTGACCTCTCTCTTAAGGAAGTTTAATCTAAATCTATGGTGCTTATCTATCCTCCCCCTATATTTTGGGACTCTCTTTCAATCATTCTTCCAGGTTTTCAAATTCTTTTTCTTCAGTAGTTTTTGGCACTTGGTGCATAAACATTATCAAGTCTCTGAAGAAAACAAACATACATCTTCCCTGACCACACAAGACTTCTCCCATTACCATGTCCTCTGGCTAATTCCTTTCGGAGCAGTCTCTACTTCCTTGACCTCTGCAGTTCTGGTTTCTAGCATACTACTCTAATGAAATGGCTCTGGCAGACATCAATGATTTCTAACGGATACTTTTCAATTTTCACATACTTGACCTTTTTGCAATGTCAACAGTACTAACCACTCCCACTCCTTTTTGAAGCTGTTTCTTTTTATGAGTTATATCCATTCATCCCACAATATTGAAGATTTACTATCTACCACATATTGTTTCTATGTTGCTTTCCATAATGGTTAAACAAAGCAAGCATGGTCACATCTCATGAATTTATAGTCATGTGGTAGAAGACCCCATGCATACATAATATATGTATAGTCACAAAGTGTGATGCCTACTATAGAGGAAAAAAATACACCAATCTTTTTGGTTCCTTTCTTAACCTTTTAGAAACCTCTTTCAATCTCTTTAGCTGGCTTCTCTTCTTCAAATGATTCTTTAAATGCAGGTGTTCCCAAGCCTTTTGTTTTCTCCCTTTACATGTTTTCCCTGTACTTTAACTCCCATTCACAAATTACGCATCTCTCAAATACATAGGTCCTGGGCACTGTACCAAGTGCTGGAAAGTCAGATAAGGCCCCTGGTCTTGTACAGCTTATATTTCAGATAATTTTAACTTCTAAATTTATCTTCTAGCCAAAAACTGCCTTGTAGACTCCAGACCTATATATCCAACTGCCCATTAGAAATCTTTACCAGTATGTTCCTCAAGTGCCTCAAAAAAAGTAGGTTCCAAGTTGAACCTATCTTTTGCCCAAATCTGTTCTTGCTCCCATATTGCCTATCTTGATGGGCAGTACCACCATCATGGACGGTTTTCCCATTTGCCTAGTATTAATCAAAACTGCCTTATAACATAGGATTTAGAATGCATTTAAAAACCGAGTCACTTCAACCTATTTTTCTCATAACCAAATCTATATTTCTCAGTTTCTAAGTCTGAAAGATGCTACTTTCTACAAGTTACTAAAATGATGCATTTTCCCCTCTCCATTCCACCTACTGCTTTAGTCTCTATGCATCTCCTGGAATCCTAAAATAACCCCCTAACAAGTCTCCCAATTATTTCCTATTATAGTTCTTAAGTGAGGGTGAGGCTGGAGTGCCTTTAAAAAAAAACAACACAATCACTCTTCCACTTTTGAAGTATACCAGCTATTCCAACTGGCAGGGGAAAAGCCCAGTCTCCTCTTGTTAACTTGAAATTGGGGAACCATTCATTCACACATTTGAATGTTTATGATCTGCCAGATACTGTCATTGTACAACTACTCTGGTTTTCCCATTTGCCTAGTATTAATCAAAACTGTCTTCTAACATAGGATTTAGAATGCACTAAGATTCTGAAATCTCAAAGTTCGTATTTGTTTTTAGGAGTATAAACTTCTTTACAAGATAGATATAGAAAATCACTATAAGAAAGAAATTTAAACTGAGAACCAGGACCAAGCTTTTATAATTTTGACCAAATGATCCCCTTACATCAAAAAATCAATACCACAAAAGTTTTCTCCTCTTCTACAAAGAATTAAATGAGAAAAATTATATGAAATTATTTTACTTGAATATTTGTGTCTACCATGGACTTATAAAGAAAAACAGAAAAATCTAAAAACTCATCATGTTAAATTTGAATCACTGAAGAGGAATTTATATTAGCTGTCATGACTTTTTCAAATTAAAAATAAAGTCACATGTTTCTATGCCAGAGATATATCAGAAAGTGATTTATAAAATAATTTAGATATTGAAACCTGAGGCAATGCTTCATATATCTCAAATGGTACCAGAATATTAGAATGAACTTATCTTAAATATAAGGACTGCCAACTTACAAGCTGTCCCATGAATGCAATGGGTTAACCAACAGCTCTCATAAATGAACTATCTTTCTGAGGATAATACAGTTACTTGCTAATAGGCAAATATTTACTAAGTGATTACTATTTACCAGGCATGGATATAAGTATTGGGGAAATAAATATGAACAAGAAAATCCCTGCCCAAAATAAATGATTTCAGATAGTTACAAGTGCTAAGAAAAGATAGTGACTTGTATACACTGGCCAACCTCAAATGTCATACAAGAGCTTGCCTCACTTGACGTCCACAGATCTTAACTAATCATTAATATCAGGGATGTCATCTTGACATCACATTAACCAGGGTCAATACAGTAGGTACATTATTTTGAAAATAGATAAAAACTATGTAACATTTACTTTTTCAAAGACTAAAAATTCTCAACCATTTCTAGAAAAAGCTTTAGCTTTATTTAAAACATCATCCTTATACCTTCATTTTTCCTTAGCATATCCATCACACAACTATTATGATTAGAAGCATTAGTTGCCAAAGATGAATGTAAAATGGCATTAGAATCAGTTGATGCTTTGAGATCAGGTTTGTTTTTCACCGAAGTTCCTTTCACAGATGTATGTTCAATTTTTGCACTGTTCATTGTATCACTGATCTACAAGGAATAAAATAGTTCATTGTGATAATCAACATTCAATTAAACAGAAATACTGGTAAAAAGCAAGCAAAATAATTGACAATTTAAATGTTTTTGAAAATAAATTTGCCAAAATATAAAAGTTTAAATTACATTCTTAATTTGTATAAGATTATTCTTTAAATTTTACAGTAGTTTAAGAATACAATTTCTTTTCACTTAATCTGCATTCTCAAAAAACCAGTCCTAAACGGGAAAGGGAGGGTATATTTTGAGGGAAAAAATTCCTGTAAGTGGTAGTTGGTAGCCAAGCAAATACATATGTAACATAGGCATTATCAAAACCACAGATTTTAACATTCTGGTCAAATTTTCTTAACAAGGTCAGACATGTATACAAAAGATGTGATAAGTCCTTCCTCTCCATTCCACCTACTGCTTTAGTCTCTATGCATCTCCTGGAATCCTAAAATAACCCCCTAACAAGTCTCCCAATTATTTCCTATTATAGTTCTTAAGTGAGGGTGAGGCTGGAGTGCCTTTAAAAAAAAAAACACAATCACTCTTCCACTTTTGAAGTATACCAGCTATTCCAACTGGCAGGGGAAAAGCCCAGTCTCCTCTTGTTAACTTGAAATTGGGGAACCATTCATTCACACATTTGAATGTTTATGATCTGCCAGATACTGTCATTGTACAACTACTCTGGTTTTCCCATTTGCCTAGTATTAATCAAAACTGTCTTCTAACATAGGATTTAGAATGCACTAAGATTCTGAAATCTCAAAGTTCGTATTTGTTTTTAGGAGTATAAACTTCTTTACAAGATAGATATAGAAAATCACTATAAGAAAGAAATTTAAACTGAGAACCAGGACCAAGCTTTTATAATTTTGACCAAATGATCCCCTTACATCAAAAAATCAATACCACAAAAGTTTTCTCCTCTTCTACAAAGAATTAAATGAGAAAAATTATATGAAATTATTTTACTTGAATATTTGTGTCTACCATGGACTTATAAAGAAAAACAGAAAAATCTAAAAACTCATCATGTTAAATTTGAATCACTGAAGAGGAATTTATATTAGCTGTCATGACTTTTTCAAATTAAAAATAAAGTCACATGTTTCTATGCCAGAGATATATCAGAAAGTGATTTATAAAATAATTTAGATATTGAAACCTGAGGCAATGCTTCATATATCTCAAATGGTACCAGAATATTAGAATGAACTTATCTTAAATATAAGGACTGCCAACTTACAAGCTGTCCCATGAATGCAATGGGTTAACCAACAGCTCTCATAAATGAACTATCTTTCTGAGGATAATACAGTTACTTGCTAATAGGCAAATATTTACTAAGTGATTACTATTTACCAGGCATGGATATAAGTATTGGGGAAATAAATATGAACAAGAAAATCCCTGCCCAAAATAAATGATTTCAGATAGTTACAAGTGCTAAGAAAAGATAGTGACTTGTATACACTGGCCAACCTCAAATGTCATACAAGAGCTTGCCTCACTTGACGTCCACAGATCTTAACTAATCATTAATATCAGGGATGTCATCTTGACATCACATTAACCAGGGTCAATACAGTAGGTACATTATTTTGAAAATAGATAAAAACTATGTAACATTTACTTTTTCAAAGACTAAAAATTCTCAACCATTTCTAGAAAAAGCTTTAGCTTTATTTAAAACATCATCCTTATACCTTCATTTTTCCTTAGCATATCCATCACACAACTATTATGATTAGAAGCATTAGTTGCCAAAGATGAATGTAAAATGGCATTAGAATCAGTTGATGCTTTGAGATCAGGTTTGTTTTTCACCGAAGTTCCTTTCACAGATGTATGTTCAATTTTTGCACTGTTCATTGTATCACTGATCTACAAGGAATAAAATAGTTCATTGTGATAATCAACATTCAATTAAACAGAAATACTGGTAAAAAGCAAGCAAAATAATTGACAATTTAAATGTTTTTGAAAATAAATTTGCCAAAATATAAAAGTTTAAATTACATTCTTAATTTGTATAAGATTATTCTTTAAATTTTACAGTAGTTTAAGAATACAATTTCTTTTCACTTAATCTGCATTCTCAAAAAACCAGTCCTAAACGGGAAAGGGAGGGTATATTTTGAGGGAAAAAATTCCTGTAAGTGGTAGTTGGTAGCCAAGCAAATACATATGTAACATAGGCATTATCAAAACCACAGATTTTAACATTCTGGTCAAATTTTCTTAACAAGGTCAGACATGTATACAAAAGATGTGATAAGTCCTGAAAGTAAAATTTCAGTTACATATGGAACATTCAACCAAATGAATTATTCTGTATGACTGATATTCTTTACATAAACATTTTAGATAGGAATCTTCCCAATTACATTTTTATCTTCTTAAACACACTATAATGAACACATTTAAAGTTTTTGATAATTTGAGTTATCAGTGTGAACATCAGTTATTACATAGCAGTACCCAAAGGTCTACTAAGCCAGAAAGTGACCTGGCTTCATTTAAATCGCTGCCCCTATATAATTTCCTGTTTTTTGGTTACTTCTCTTATCTCTACCCTTATTGTCAATGAAACTATATTGTCAATCACAATTTCTCATGGCTCTAAGGATACCTGCCCATAACACGCCCTGTGCTTCCCTTTGAACTGATGATGATACTGCTACTATTAGTAAGTGATGATGATGACAGCTGCAACCATTAGGGAGCATCATACTATGTGATGGGCATTTGATACATACTTATAAAGTCTGTATTTCATTAAATCCTCACAAAAATTCTATATATTAGATAATGGATTAAGTTTATATTTAAAGAAATCTATAAATTGGACCCTAAGCTTATAGATGAAAAAAATGAGACTCAGAGATCTTAAATAATAAACCCACAGTCCAGAAACCACTAAGTAGCACAGCTAGGATTTGATACCTAGGTTTATTGTACTTCAAAGTCCCCATGTTATAATGTCTCTACTGTGTTCTTTGCTTAAAAATCAGAAAGCCAAGCAAGAATCTGCAATGGAGAAAAGATAGTCTCTTTAATAAATAGTGTTGGGAAATGGGACAGTACCTACAAAAGAATGAAAGTGGATTACTACCTTAGGCCAAACACAAAAATAAACTCAAAATGGATTCAAGACCTAAATATAGAACTTATAACCATAAAACTCCTAGAAGAAAACACAGGCAGTAAACTCTTGAACATCAGCATTAATAATTTTTTTCTGGATATGTCTCCCCAGGCAGGGAAACAGAAGCAAAAATAAATAAGTGGGACTACACCAAACAAAAGTTTCTGCACAACAAAATGAAAAGGCAAC